CGCGAAAATATCAGCTATCTCGCGAAAAAATAGCAATGTAGGTAAAAAGTAAGCATTAAAGTCAGAACTTAGCAATCTAGTCATAATTGGCAATCAAGCCAAAAATTATAGTTAGCTATGTAGATTACTTTTTGTGGCATATATAGCTAAAATTTTAGCTACATAGCTTAATAATTAAAATCCCTCGTTGAGCTATTCCGCTAATATTTTTTTTTTTCGTGTGACAACTGATCGGTGGTGTGTGAGCGAGTATGACGTCGTCCCTGCTACGTGACTCGTGGTACACGGCGCTGCTGCTCCAGATAAAAATCCCCCCCCCTCTCCCCTCCGCCTGTCAGCTCGCATCGTGTCCTCCAGTCAGTCGTGAAATGTTGGATCGGTGCGCTAACGACCCCCTCCCACCTCACCCTGTTGTTTTTTTGTTTGTTTTTTTACATTTCACCCTTTCGTTACCCCCATTTCGTTTTTGACTTATTTCTTCTTTCTCGTGACAGCAACGTCCCCGTGGCAACCTGTGCACCGTGTGCGTCGTATGAAATGGTTCCCCCAACAGCAGACACTTTAAAAGGCGCATAGGGGAGAAGCGTTTTTCGCGACCGCGCTGGCTTTGGCTGCATAAAACCATGCGGTCGCGGACGTCAAACTTAACTTACCGCCATATCAGTTTCGCAACAAGACGAAACACTTTGCGCCGCCGTCACGTTATGGCTCGATCGTTTGTAATGGCGCACGTTTTTACTCGGACGTGTGTGGGGGTTTCCTGAAAGCGCGCGGTTTGGGAGGGGGGGGGGCGTGTCATGATACTGAGACGCGACTATGAGTCAACCGTTGGCACAGTTTGGGCCTCCTAGCCAGCCCCATGCTGCCCTGGCCCGCCTTCGATAAGGCTTGCTTGCACGAGCTTGCTTCGTCTTCATGCCAAGGAAATCTTGGACCTTCTCCTAATAGAATACGAGTCTCTCAAGGCCCGGTCTTGCCTCCTCTCGTGCCTGCGCTCCAGCTCGCGCGGCGGCTCGCGGAGGTTCTGCGCGCCGCCTTTGTGGTGGTCCTCAAGCTCATCACGACGAAGAATCTATTAGCTGTATATAGCTGAACTAATGGCTAAAGGAGGGATAACTACGTAGCCATGTAGCGACAAGGCCGCCTCGCGGTCCTCCAACTCATCACGAAGAAAAATGTACTAGCTGTATAGCTGAACCAATGGCTAAAGGAAGGATAACTATTTAGCTACCTATGTAGCGAAAAATTCGCCGTGTCGTAAAAATTTAGCTATCTAGCTAAAAACATGGCTAAGAAAGACACAGCCCCCTGGAACAGGGAGGCCGGGGTGGGTGGAGCAGACGGTGGAGCGCGTTAGAGCGAGCGCAGCGCCGCGTGCTGAGCCTGCCGTGCCCATACCGACAATATAATGA